CCCTCCCTTTTCACTAACCCATCCGCTTTTATTGGCTTCGCTGGCTTAGCCGGACACAGAAGACTCCCTGCCGCCTGTTGGCTGTTGACTTCCCACGCCGCTTTTGGGCCGTTGCTTTCCCTTTCCATTAACGAGGTGACTGTTAGAGGGAAGAGTATTCGAGCAAACCCCGCCCTCTCTTTGACAGTGACAGTATCGGGCCGTCTGAAATGTAGGACACGTAACACATGTGCCTTCGATCAGTACGACTGTGCATGTCCGGATCCGTGTGACTTTCTCAAAGTGTTGACCACAGCAGCAGCAGCTGCAGGAGCAAATCTTGCAGCACACTGTCTTGTGCCTTTTGTCATCTTGAAGCTTTTGTAAACGCTTCGGGTTGGATCATGCATTGCACAGGAATGACGGCGAGGTTTGGTTCTGCTGCCCCACCTGATTGATACCTATATTGATAAGCTTACTAAAATGATTTTAGTTAACACACACCTAACTTAGCCACTCGCTGCATTAGCAAGGGAAAGAGAGCGCAGATAAGTGAGTGAAGATGGCGTATACACGCTCTCCCCGCGAAACAGCCACTCGCTGGATTAGTAGGATAGGGAGGGTGCAATCACAACTGGAAGGCCACGGAGGGGACCGCGTAGCAATTCTCAGTGCATGGCCATTGTAGTGGAACCGACGAAGTTCTAGCCCGTCCGAGCAATTCATTTAGCGAGCCTACGTAGTCACTCGCTGGATTAGTATAATAATGAAGACGAATAAGTGTGTAATCATTTTACCGTACTAACAACACCGGTATTAGCCAAAAGCTAATAAAGCTTTTAGCGAATACCTGTGTTGTTAGTACGGTAAAATGATTACACACTTATATCCTACTGGCTGCCTGTTGGCGGTTTATGAATATTACGTGGTTATTCTTCAGTAGCTGATGGATTTAAGCTCAAATACTCATATCACATTTCGGATCGTGCCTGAAAAGGTCTGTTCTGAGAGATTTTTCTCCAAGTTCACGCATTAATTTCCTCGGAACTTAAACAAGACGAAGAGGACGAAATCAGGGCTGGAAACACGCACAGGGAAGCGTGTATAAGAACTGATAACTGCGGTAACTGAGGCTGTTGTATAAGCACTCCTCCCCCGTGGCATAAACACTCGCTGTATTAAAATGGTAAGGAAAGTGCAAACACGTGATATTTGTAGAGTCAGAGTGCTCGCATCTACTAAGATTGTTTTAGACAACTAACTATACGTTATCGATCAAATGGGGCTGTAGAACCAAACCTCGCGCACATGCCTTCACGTCAGTCTCGACTGTTATAAAAGTGTCGAGGCAGCCGGTTGACCGCATATTAAAAAGCACACTCTGATCAGTGATCAGATGAGAAAAAACCGTCCCTCGTCCTTCCAGAGAGACGGATATCTGGACTACAGATGTCGTCCCCGTTCAAATGCTGGAAGGGGGCGCCTTGTCAACAGCTCTCCGCCTGCCCCAAGTCTTTCACCTAGGGATCGTCTATAGGTCTACGCACGCGTGAACTCGTGTTAGTTCATCACTCTTAATACGCGAACTTGGCGATCCACTAGAATCTCCTGTATCCAGTTAGGAGGCGTCACAAGTCTGTTCGCAGCGCTCGGGACAGATCTTCCACCTCCTCACCTCCCCCCCCCCATCCTTGGCACTGAGTCTCTGTGCATGTAACGTCGAGTTCCATCAGTGTTTAGTGCCCGTAGGTAGTGTTTAATACACTGCACTACGGTACTATCATCGTACTCTATGGCTGTAAGTAATTTGTTATAATGCTGTATAAAGACAGGGCGAGCATGTCCCGTAAAGCGGTCGGCGAGCACACTTCCAACATGAGTTAGTATTTCCGATCGCAACTGACAGGACGACTGGCCCGTGGCTCAATTGGTAGAGCGTTGAGCTTTATAACGCTTTATAGCCGAAGATCGCGAGTTCGAGGCTCACTCGCGGAAGGCCCCGGGTTTGGGTAAAATTGGCCGGCGACGACTAAAACACCAGAACTGACCGCCCTGACCTCCTTTGTTTTTGTCGGTACTCGTTCCAACAGTGCAAATGTGGCATATAATGCACAGTAATTATATGTACTATGCATACGTGAAAGTGTGTAGTACCATAATACAGTATGTGTATAGAATTTTAGATGTATGTTTATAATTTCTATATTAGGTCTGAAGTATAAGCGTTCGGCAACTCGGTATTGTGTATTCTTTGACGTTGCATTCGGCTGGAACACACCTTGGGTAGGCAAATCTACTCTTATCCTTAGCAGTTCAGTGCTACACTCCAGAGTCGGTAGGCCTTCTTAGTCCAATCGATTGCGGACTAGTGGGCGCTGCTACTGCTGAGGTTGTAAAAAAGGTGGGAGAGTCGATGTATCGAAAAATATGGACAAAAAATTTGTGGCATTTTGCCGTTGTAGCTAAGAACTTAATCTGTTAAGGGGCGAGCCATGAAAGTTGCAGATATATCAAGGCAGAGACCACTTGGAGGCGAACGTAACGGGGTGCGACAGAGGTGACCGACTGTTCAAGATATCCTGAAGGGGACCCGTATCGCAGACCACGGATTCCGTTGAACTAGAGGTTGGCTGTCTTGCAGGCCTGCCAGTGCCTGCCTCCCCCGGGAATTCCCCTTTTGAGCGTCCACTTGCCCCCCAGGAGTGGCTCTCCTCTCACTATTCATTTAGTACTTGCAACTGCGTGCTCAACTCTCGGCTGAAAGTATACTTTCCTGTTTTGGCAGTATCTCCACGGACTGTTGCATCGTTACATTCAACGTGTGCTTGCCTGCTCGGATACCTGGGAGGTGGACCCTGATAAGCTGCCCGCGTCAAGCCTCTCCTCCGGCAGTCTGCTCTCAGCGGACGGCCAAGGCACGGCGCCCGCCGCGGCTGCTATTATCCGCGACTATTGCGCTCACAAGACCTCGCCCATTCGCTCCTCCTCTGCTGGCGGCGTCTCTGGCAACAACACGCTGGACACTCCGCAACACAGTCTGGCCCACCTGGCAGTCCTCAACAATGGACGTCTCGCTCAGCCAGGCAGCCTTATCTTCAACCAACTGAAGCTTCTACAACACCTGGATCTTGTGTGGGAGACAGTGCGTGCCAGTCGCAAGGACTTTCCCAAGTACGGTCTCTTTCTTTTTCTTAGTCTTAGCATTGGAGTCGCACCACCGCCGCCGCCGCCACCACCACCACCACCACCACCACCACCACCACCACCACCACCACCAACATCATCAGCATCATCTTTGACTCTAACGCTCCAGGAAGCCAGCATCCAGACTTATTAGACAGGACAGTCATCTCAAGCTTCCCGTCTTTCCAGAAATGTCGGCATAAGGCGTTTTCGCAGACCCTAAAAGTCCTTTTAGGCAGATCCGTCGTTAGTCTACTAGCCGGTGCGCACTTTTAAAATACTGAATTTCAATTAGGGATCCTCGTGACCGTCACCTTTCTCCGTCTGACTAGTTTCTCTGCTGAAGGTGGATCTAAAATATACTTTTTTAGTAAGGTATTTAAGTAGCTGAATGACAGTCTGCTATCTTTCGTCAGTCTTCTGCCACCCGGGGTAAAAGTTGTTTTAGACTGAAGATCGATCTATCACCGTAACAGATGCATGCAAATGTGCTCTCCATTTTTTTAAAAAAATGCTGCCTGTTAGCTCACACCAGTTACCAACAGAAGTCTTTTTTTCCGAGTAATCGAGGAAAATTGCCCGCCAAATGCAAGGTCAGTGGTGTGTAATTCAGACAACGACTTGACAGTTTGACATCGTTTTTGTATGGAAACAAAGTTATATCCCCTACTTGATCCATCAGCTCACACTGCCGTCATCCCGCAGAGCAGTAACACGAGGGGGATAACTGTGGAGACTGAAATAAACACACTCCTCCCTCATGCGAAAAAAAACCAAAACCCAGCCTTCGTATTCTTCAGTGGAAATTATATTTTGATTAGGCGGAGTAGCGTAGAGGTCACCCGCTGCCTCCTGTTGTTTCTCCCTCCAACAGAGGAGAAGGAGGGCAGGAGACAGAAATAGATCTGCCAGATTTATTGGCGGACAAAGTGCTATCGGGTTTCTTCTTGAAGGGAGATCCACAAAGAGCTCCATTTTGGACCATATGTGCTCCTGCCGACGTCAGTGGCACGGTGAAGGGTTTGCCGTAGCTACTACCTTTGCAGGGGATGGCTTCGCCCAACGCACCCGCTACGTCCTTCTCTCCCGGCGCAGTTTATTCTCTCCGGATACACAGGGATTTGGTCTGGGCTTGTTGCGCCTGACCAACGCCCTAGCAACCGAATGCGTTACTTACACTTGCCTCTTTCTAGCCCCCCCCCTCCCGACCTTGCCTGGAACGGTACAACCTATTAAGCCCGGTATTAACTGGCGGTATTCAATCGGGAGGAAAGTACTATGTGGACTACCTGGCAGTAATATCCTTTAATCTGCCATGGATACAGGAAGTCCATTAAGGACATATTCTGTTTTACCTAGGACCTCCGGGTGGGGAACCCTCACAGACAGAGGAGAAGCGCTGTCTCGCAAAAACCACCTGGGATACTGCAACACTTTGCTCTCGCTATTCGAAGAAGACGTAAATAGTTGGGGGCGAGTAGACCTTACACTATGGTTCTCTGGGTGCTGCCTGTCGCCGCATGGCATATAAAACACCTAGAGGGAACAGACTGGCATTTGAAACTCGGCCATTCTCGATTATAAGGGGAAGGGGACTTGTAAACTAGCACAGATTAGAAGACGAGGTGGCGAGCAGACATAACTTTCGATAAATTTTCGTCGGGCCAGTACAGTTATATGGGAGCGGGGTACAAGTAAAACATGTCAGCGATAAGAGAAATCGATAAAAGTTCTTAAAACCCGGGGGGGGGTGTAATAGCAGTTAGTGTCAGGGGCTACGTACGTTCGCCACCTCGTCTTCTGATTACTGCTATGAGAATTTTCGTAACTCTAAAACTAGCACCGACTTCAAAATGGAAAATGCTCATGAGTGGAAGCCATAGCTGTCACGTCAGTAGCAGGTTTGCACTGCTCCACTTTCAGCACTGCATGGCCTCGGTCTGGAATAACAGGCGAATACTGCGTTGCATTTCGTTAACCGTTTGGTATCCTGCCCCCAAATGTCATGATATCCAAAGAGGTAGAAGCCTGGTAGATCGCTGCTATCCCAGCGTCGACTAGATTTTTAACACTCAAGGCGCACTGAGTATTCTTGTTCGGACTGAACAGTTATGCAAGGTGGTGGTTGCTGGTCCTCTTGCGTCCCATCTACCTGCGCGGATGCTTACGACCTCCTGGCTGCTGGTTGAAATGGCTCGTCTAGGCTACGTCTACTTCGGTGGAATCCAGTAGGCCAACATTTTGGGGATCTGTTGATTATTATTTCGTTGCTACTCTCGATTTCCCGGGTCAGTTGGCTAAGTGGGGATTTACCAACTGCTACTTTTCGCCGCCTTCCGTCAGGCCTTTCTGACACAGGAATCACCATAAGCTAACGCCGATTTCCGGGGCCTCTGGCGTTTTTTTGCTGGAGTGCTTTCGACTAGCGATTTCTTTGTGGCGTTAGGCATCATGCCTTATTAGCATTCTTCAATCTGCTCCAAATGAGAGCAGTTGTCTGACGTTTGCTCACGCATTCTACTAATGTGGCATCCCGAGCCCGTGATCGGCTGCACGGGTTCACCTCCCCGTGCATCCATGTACTACCCGTGACTGCAAAGATGGGCCGATTGTGCTCGTCAGGACCCGCCTGCCGGTCAGGCGGCCAACCGGAACGTGACCGCTGAACTCGGTGGTTGCGTGGCGACGCGGGTGAGAGAAGGGGGCGCTAGTTGCTAGACGCCGTCAGTTTAGGACGACTAGTTTATGCTGCCAGAGGCTTGCTGCGGACGTGTCTCTTTGTTCATCACTGTGACTGATTCTTTGGAAATTGCATTATCCGACAGTTCTTCCACCGTGTGTGCCTCACATGGTCGACGCGGAACGGTGACTTGAGCGTGGATTGGTTCACAACGAGACATACTTGCGCTGCCTCTGCCACACTATCCTCCTCCTCCTCCTCCTCCCCCTCCTCCTCCTCCTCCTCCTCACCCACCTGCCCCGCATCGCCATGACAGTGTCAAGACGACGCGAGGCGGGCCCGGGCGCAGTCCGCCTACGCGTACCTCGCATTACATGATCCGCATTGCATGTACCAGGCACCTTTGAAGGTGACGCGGATCTCACATGCGCGAGAGTGCCATAGAGGCTGCATTTAGAAGAGCCATTCACTCTTGCCCAAGTCCTGAGAAGGACGGACCAAGTTATCTTGCCAGTTGACAGCCTTCCTAGCTACAACCCTGAGCGCGTCAGATTTATTGTATTGAGGAATGCCCTGATTTGTCGTGGGGGGGGGGGGGTCGGATTCCCCGATGTGGACCTCACTCTTCCTTCTCCCATGCACCAGTCGACTGTCCGAACCTGTCAACCAGCTGGTTTTAAAGTTGGACGCGATAGCTAACGCGGGGTGAAAGCCTACGTCGAGGCGTGCTGCCATACACCATGTACAGCCGTAGTTGTTTGGCTCGCACAGACCATGCGCAGCCGGCTTAACACATGCCGTGAGCCAATCTGACTCCCTTCTGGTCCAGCACATCTACAACGCAGCCCGTTGTGGGTGCCACCCCATGACCCGAGCGCTCATACACACACCACGACTCTTCATATTGTCGTTGACGGGAGAGGAGTCACTTTCGAGCCAGGCTTGTTAAAGGGTTCTGCCTCAATCTGTGCTTTTCTTCCCTCTACAGGCAACTGCTGCATGTCTTCTCAGCCTTCCGGGCGGCGCTGCAGCCGAGTCGGGGCGCAGAGTTCTGCGACAAGCTGGTCTCTGCCTGCATCTTCCTACGCTTCATCTGCCCGGCCATCCTGACACCGTCACTCTTCGGCCTGGCCAGCACCTTCCCCGGCGAATCTAACTGTCAACGCAACCTCACGCTGGTGGCCAAGTCCCTCCAGTCGCTCGCTAACCTAGCCACGTTTGGCGACAAGGTAAGCAGTCAGTGCTGTCCTGTTTATGGCGGCGCCAGCGGTGGCGGTTGGCCACATCGGGGGGCCACTTTCCCCGGGCAGTTTTCCTCAAAGGCCGTCGCTGTCGTCGTCCCCCCTCCCTTCCCCTAATTTGTAATTTGGACGTGGCTCTGCTAAGCTGGTTACAATTACCACACGGACTCGTCGGCTTTATCCCTAACCAATCTTCTTCGTGAATGGCGGGTGGGCGACGACACGAACACATGTCGGGCAAGTTTCCGCTCTGGCGGACACAATCGGTCGTCCGTCTGTCTGTGGGTATTTCCTGTCACCAGTCCTGAAGCGTATTCTGGCCGTTGCAAGAAACAATGCAGTTGTTCGATCGGCTCTGTTAGTTTCCTGGGTTCTTCCGGTTAGTCAGCCAGTGAGCTTGAAGGATAGACTCCACTCACATGCACCTACACTCGTTCGGCTCTAGTTTGCAGGTCTGCCTATCTAAAAGTCCGGTAGGACACGGGAATAGAAAACTCCCGTAATTCACGTGGCTTTTCACCAAATTCCGGGGAGATCGAAGTTAAGGTTGGGGTCAGGACACGGGAATCGATCACCGTCCTGGAATCTAATGCAAGGTTAGCCTGAATCACGTGTCTTGCTAAAAGTTTCCGCTGAAGAACGGTATGCATTCGCTGTATCCTCCGCCAAAGGGGGTCTTGCCGAGATTACCACGAATACAGATACCACAGTGAAGGAGAGAGTGAGTGTGTGTGTGCGGTACTTTTTGCAATTATACAAATGGAGAAGTACGTCCACCGACAGTGATTCTTCGGCGCAACGCCTGGCGAGGCTGTAGCAACGCACACCGAGCACAGTTGATGCTCAGATAATGGGCTGCATTAAAGGGCAGAAGAATTAACGATGTGCCGGGTGTATTTTACGTTGCACAGGGTGGGCTTGATGCTGTGCTCAGTTAGTATTGTCGTTGATGCGGGGGAGAGGGGGGAGGTGTGATGAACTATGCATTAGTGGACATGTGACTGACAATGGTCTGCGACTGTCCCCGGTGATGGAGAATCCGGAGCAGCGGGCCAATAAACCTCTTGTTCCGGTGATCGCATCTTCCCCTTATGAAGAGACTGTGAGATAGCAATACCAGGATATTTGAAGAGTTAGGGCTATGTAGCGGGTACTATCGAGTCCCAACCTGCCTGTAGAATATTTAACGACCAACTGTTGACCTGTTACGCCGGTAGCGCTGCAATGTTAACGCTTAAATCTGGAGTTTCACTTATTTCCTGAGTGACTTTCTGAGAAGAAGCGAGAGAGAGAGAGAGAGAGAGAGAGAGAGAGAGAGAGAGAGAGAGAGAGAGAGAGAGAGAGAGAGAGAGAGAGTACACATTCATTTTTACTTGAACAAAACAACTGGTCAAGGTATTCCTAAACGTATGGTTCAATACAACCGAACAGACGCATGTTCACTGTTTCTCGACCTAGGTAGTTGCCTCAAGAGCCTTTTTTTCTACAAGGGCATGCGGGCGTACTCGACAGGCAGTTTCAGTTGGCTAAGTAATCAGTCTTCTGTCATCAGCCAGAAGGGAAAGGGGGGACTCGAAGAGAGAGAGAGAGAGGGGGGGAGAGAGGGAGAGAGAGAGAGGGAGGGAGGAAGTCGCTTTATTTTGAGGTCATAAGTTCAAAATTTTCAGCAAAAATTGGCTCCATTCACTATGGGCAGTAAATAAGTTAATAGATTATTCAAGAGTCAAAGTCTAACACAAAGAAACGATTATTATGAGGATAGTTCAAGTCTTAGCTTCTGTATTTCTATCTCTTCGCACGTAAGATAGCGCGCTAAGAATGGCAATACAGAAGCTCGATAAGCCGATGTGCGACATGACATAAGTCGGAAGCTGCGGCGCATCGGGCGGGAAGACTTTGCAGAAATAAGATCAGAATGCAAGGGATGGGCAACGTCATCTATAATCCGACCAGCAAATTGCTTCGCCGCATTGAAATGTCGTTGTAAGATAGTGTCAACTAAAAAAGATAAGAAACACCAGCAGCAGAAGAGAGCATACGGAGGACTCGTTTCAAAATTAAAAGATCCCTTTTAAGCAAAGCAAGAAAAATGATAGGAGAGCAGTATGGGATAAGAGGAAGCGGAAAGCCTGCCAGAACCTTGGAAGAAAATTAGGACGATGGTCACCACGCTTTGTTTTTAGTTCAACTTGGAGCCGTGGTATGAGGGATGAGAAGTTGATTCTATTCTGCGGGGGGGCTGGTAGGCAGTGAATCAACAAACACGCCCTGGATTATGTGAATAGTCAGAAAATGGCAAATAAACCATGCTTCCGGTGTGTGATATTCATCCCCATCATGCATGCAACAGTAAATGTCTGTCCAAAAGTACTTTAGCTCAAAACCCGGTAGTGACGGATTTCTCACATCCACAACGCCTACTTGCCAACCGGCCGGAACCAATGTGGTGATCGCACAGGTACATGAACTCCAGTTTCGATTTGGAGTAAATTCTTCGGAAGAGACCTTTCCAGGTACTGCCGGAAAGTTTCTTCACTCCAA